TTTTTTGTATTTTTAGTAGAGACGGGGTTTCACCGTGTTGACCAGGATGGTCTCGATCTCTTGACCTCGTAATCCACCCGCCTCGGCCTCCCAAAGTGCTGGGATCACAGGCTTGAGCCACCGCGCCCGGCCTAAACTTTAAATTTTTTATAGAGATGGGTTTTGCTATGTTGCCTAGGCTGGTCTTGAATTCCTGGGCCCAAGCTATTCTCCTAGCTTAGTCTCCCAAAGTGCTGAGACTACAGGTGTGAGCCACTGTTCCTTGCCTTATGAATAGAATTTTAGGCCGGGCATGGTGGCTCATGCCTGTAATCCCAGCATTTTGGGAGGCTGAGGCAAGCGTATCACCTGAGGTCAGGAATTTGAGATCAGCCTGGCTAACATGGTGAAACCCTGTCTCTTCTAAAAAAACTCAAAAAAAAAAAAAAAAAAAAGAAAAAGAAAAGAAAAGAAAAGAAAAAATTAGCCAAAAAAAAAAAAAAAAAAAAGTCTGGCTAAGACATGGTGAAACCCTGTCTCTTCTAAAAAAAACTCAAAAAAAAAAAAAAAAAAAAAAAGAAAAAGAAAAAATTAGTCAGACATGGTGGTGAGTAACTGTAATTCCAACTACTTGGGAGACTGAGACAGAAGAACTGCCTGAACCCCGGAGGTGGAGGTTGCAGTGAGTGGAGATCATGCCACTGAACTCCAGCCTGGCCTACAGAATGAGACTATGTCTCAAAACAAACAAACAAACAAACACCTTAGAATTTTTAATGTGGGCAGAAAGACTTAAACAGGTACTTTATGAAGGAAAAATCCAAGTGGCCAATAAATATATGTAAGTGTGCTCAATATCAGTAAGTAATTAGGAAACTATAAATGAAAGTCAGACTAAGATCAGACTATATAGTCTTAATCAGAATGGCAAAATTCACAACTATGATAGTATTTTGTATTGAGGCAATGGTGTCTCTGACATTCTGCTAATAGGAGTGTACATGGAAACAATCTACTTGAAAAAAATCTGGTATTTATCTATCAAAGCTAAAGAAGTGCCCTGTGACCCAGCGAGTCTGCTTCTGGAAGCTTACACATGTGTGTTTTGAGACATGTGTGTTTTGAGACCAACTCTCACTCGTTGCCCAGGCTAGAGTGCAGTGGTGCAATCTTGGCTCACTGCAACCTCTGCCTCCTGGCTCAAGCAACTCTCGTATCTCAGCCTCCCGAATAGCTGTGACCACAGGTATGCGGCACTATGCCCAGCGAAGTTTTGTATTTTTAGTAGAGACAGGGTTTTGCCATGTTGGCTAGGCTGGTCTTGAACTCCTGACCTCAGGGGATTCTCCTGCCTCGAACTCCCAAAGTGCTGGGATTACAGATGTGAACCACCACACCTGGCTTGCATTTTTATGCACTTTCTATTTGAGTGTTTTATGCCACAGAAATGTTGAAATTACTTAAGACTCTATTGTTACATGTAAGACAAACATATAAGGAAGAACGTTTTCACTGGCAGTAGTTTTAAGTTACGTTTTTGACATGTGAGCCACAAAAGAAATATGATGATAGACATTCATTTTTCTGGGTATGAGAATATGTGAAAGCAGATATCTTAATAATGTCATTCTGTATTTCTGTTGCTTTTATTGTCTTGTCATCTTCAGTGATTTTTTATATAGTGAACCTCAGTATTTACATTTTCTGAAACATCCTGATTTAGGATAGGCCAAGCTATCATTCCTGAACATTGGTTTCAACTTACCAGACATTTTGGTTCTGCTAAGGATTAGGTCCCAAAACATTAGCCTAATATGCTCAGGCCCTGTATAGGTACTTTGCATGTATTATCTTAGCCATTGTGATAATCCACGAAAGTTGATATTATCGTACCATTTTTTAGATAAGAAAATTTATCTTTTTTTTCTTTGAGACGGAGTTGCGCTCTGTCATCTGTCGCCCAGGCTGGAGTACAGTGGTGCGATGTTGGCTCACGGCAACCTCCACCTCACAGGTTCAAGCAATTTTCCTGACTCAGCCTCCGGAGTAGATGGGACTATGGGTGTGTTCCACCATGCGCAACTAACTTTTTTTGTAGTTTTAGTAGAGACAGGGTTTTATCATGTTGGCTAGGATGGTCTCAATCTCCTGACCCCCGGACCTGCCTGCCTTAGCTTCCCAAAGTGCTGGGATTACAAGTGTGAGCCATTGCGCCCGGCCAGGAAATTTATCTTAAAAAAGTTAGATGACTTGCCCCAATCATATAGCTAGACAATGATGAAGCTATAATTAGAACAAGATCTGCTTAGCTCCAAAGCCTGAGCTCCTAACCACTCCTCTAGTTTCAGAGACTAAAAACTTCAGGCTCTATCCTCTACCTTGACCAAGGTCAACTGTATATCATGTTTTTCTTTATTTTTAAAAACTACGTAATTGACAATGATTCCCATCATTGTGTGTACGAAAGCAGCCAAGACAGCATGTGACTGTCATAGGGACAATATATTTGCACAAGAGTAAAAAGGTAGAGAATAAACAGGCTTTGCCAACAATGCTTGTTACCAACTGACCATGAACTTTTACCTTCATTCTATATTTCCTGTTTTGCAGGCACTTGGCAGGACCCAAATTACAAAATGTAAAGGAACAAAATGAACACCGATATTACACAATGTTCCTTGGCATACAAAAGAAGAGTAGACATTGTGTGTTGTAGTGTGCTTTGTTGCATAAGGGCAATTACTGTTAAAATTACATTTTTCTACTATCTTCTATGTAGAGTTATGAGCATACTCCTAGATAAAAATCTGCTAAATAGTGATGATGCTGCTTTTTAATCTCTTTAGTATTTGAAGGTCCTATCTAACTTTGACAGTTTAAAATGTCTCTTCTTTTTAATATTCTTGTAGAACCTATAGACTAAGGCACCTCATCTAGCCCTTGATGAGTTACTGTATTTTTTTTCTTTTTTTTTTTTTGAGATAGAGTTTCACTCTTGTTGCCCAGGCTGGAGTGCAATGTCATGATCTTGGCTCACTGTTCCCTCCACCTCCTGGGTTCAAGCAATTCTTCTGCCTCAGCCTCGAGAGTAGCAGGGATTACAGGCATGCACCACCATGCCCAGCTAAATTTTTATTTTTAGTAGAGATGAGGTTTCTACATGTTGGTCAGGTTGGTCTTGAACTCCCAACCTCAGGTGATCCACTGCCTCAGCCTCCCAAAGTGCTGGGATTACAGGCGTGAGCCACCACACCCAGCCTAATGAGTTACTGTATTATATTGACCAATACATAAGCTTGATCTGCCCTGACCAAAATGGAAGCCCCTCGTTTACTATGCATGGAATGTAAGCTTAACCAGCTCATGAGCTCCATCAGGGCCAGAAACTATGCATAGCTTCCACATGTTTTTATTTATTGATTGACTTTTTGCCTTCTAGATTTGATTTCTAAAGTTTAAAATTCAGGATGGCATGGCAGAGAGATGAGAAGGAGCGTCTGAATGTTGAGAGGAGTTTGGCTGAAGATGGCTGGAGAAGAGATTGGCTGCTGGATGATCAAACTCCAGATGATCATCTTCTCACTCCATCCCACTTCCACCCTCAGTAAAACCTCTACAATCACCATCCTCAATTCTTTGTGCAACTTGTTTCTTCCTGGACCCTGGACAAGGACCTAGGTACCGAGAGGACACTAAGCTGGTTAACATTTCAGCCGTCTGCAGATGGCAAAGCTGAAAGAGCACTGTAACACATGCCTACTTGGGCTTTGGGAGTTGTGGGCACCCACCCCTAGATGCTACCATGAGGCCGGAGCCCCAGAGCACTTGCCCCAGCTCCTGCACCTTCCCATCTGTGTGCTCCTCCTCCCATAAGGGGTTTGAGCACACAGCCGCTGAACAGACAAGCCACACCCTTGTCACATGTCCTGCAAGGGGAGTCAGGGAATTCTCTTGTTTCATGAAGACTGAATCTTGAGAATTACTACTGTTCTGTTATATGACAGGTACGTCACAGAGTAGAAAAGGTTGGGAAATCGTGCTTCAGGAGTCATCACTCAATTTGAGAACAGTTACTACAGAGCTCTGGGAAGTAGATTAATTGCTTTGCTTATTTCAAACATTCCTTTTTTGTTCTTTAAGCTTGAGTATCTTTACTTTATATCCACCTAATTCCTTTTCCTACCTGATGAAGGTGTGGCTTTTGAGATAAAGCCATGCCAATCAAAGGGTTTTAAATGTTGAGGGTATTGGGATACTGGACAGGGCTAAGTTGCTAAACCAGGAAGTCCAGAGAAGGTGAGTGAAGTGGGTTAGACTAAGGAAGGGGAAGTTGCCTTCCTTAGCGACAGCTGACAACTACTCAGAATGTTAACGCATACTTGACTTTGCTGAAAGGGAAGGCCCAGTTGTGCTGCACTGTCCTCTGCAGGTAGTCACCTGCCCAGGCAGGACAGCTTTGGCAGTCATTTCCTGGGTGCCTAAGCAGGCAGAGGACACATCTCTGGGTCCCAAGAATAGCAAAGCATTTTACATAATGACTTACTTGGTCTCTGTTTCTCTGTCTCAAAAAAGTACAACTCAATTTTTCCTTTCCAAGAAAGTTGGTAAAAGGAGAAAAGGAAAAGGAAAGTTAGTACTTGTGAAATATTGGCATCTGGTTCTACTGCAGTTATTTATTTTAATGAAAACAGCTACTGAGGGGAACTAACTCACCACACTGGAGGGTAGGTGGCAGAAACACTCCTCCATCCTGCTTGCTCTGGAACCCTACTGTGTCCTAAATCTGGCTGTGTGCTGAGGTGAGGACGGTTTTACATTTGTGCTGCAGAGCCTAAGAGCTTATACATCTATAATGCCAAAGACTGAATTTACTAACCTCCAAGGTCTATAAAATCAAATTAGAAGCTCAGTGAAATGTTTTTTTGTAGACATTAAACAAATATTTGTTAAACTGAATTATCTAACAAGTGAAATTATATACTAGAATTAAATGAGAGTATGTAAGAATGCTTTTGCCTTACCTGTCATGTCTTAATACAGGTGTGGGCATCACGCTTGTCAGAAGCCATCCAAATTCAGCCAGAGTGTGCAGCAGAGGGCCATAATCTGTTTTGATTTCACATCCCTGCATGAATAAGCATAAGAGCTCATAGTCTAATAGCAAAGACAACCAACTACACAATTACAACAAAGGGTGATGCGCGTTAGGATTGTTAGGTTGAACGGAGTTCGCATTCATCGCTGCAGCCTTCCTGGGCTTCATGTTCTCCTCTGCTTCCTTCTAATCGCTGAACCGAGTTAGAAACACTGGTAGTGGAGAGAGGTTTCTGTCTGGTTGTTGGGAGTTTGGTCTTGTTAGGGCAGTGGTTCTTGAAATTTAATATATGGGATTGGGGAACTGGAAATCTACATTTTAAAAATATTTTATATATATATATATATATATATATATATATATATATATATTTTTTTTTTTTTTTTTTTTTTTTGAGACGGATTTTTGCTCTTGTTACCCAGGCTGGAGTGCAATGGCGCAATCTCGGCTCACCGCAACCTCCGCCTCCTGGGTTCAAGCAATTCTCCTGCCTCAGCCTCCTGAGTAGCTGGGATTACAGGCACGTGCCACCATGCCCAGCTAATTTTTTGTGTCTTTAGTAGAGACGGGGTTTCACCATGTTGACCAGGATGGTCTCGATCTCTTGACCTCGTGATCCACCCGCCTCAGCCTCCGAAAGTGCTGGGATTACAGGCTTGAGCCACCATGCCCGGCCAATTATTTATATTTTATTATTATTTTTTGAGACAGAGTTTCGCAGTTATTGTCCAGGCTGGAGTGCAATGGTGTGATCATGGCTCATCGGAAACCTCTACCTCCTGAGTTCAAGTGATTCTCCTGCCTCAGCCTCCTGAGTAGCTGGGATTACAGGCATGTGCCACCATGCCTGGCTAATTTTGTATTTTTAGTAGAGACAGGGTTTCTCTATGTTGGTCAGGCTGGTCTTGAACTCCCGACCTCAGATGATCTGCCCTCCTCAGCCTCCCAAAGTGCTGGGATTTCAGGTGTGAGCCACTCTGCCTGGCTATTATATTTTATTTTGAGAGAGAGTCTCACTCCTACATCTAGGCTAGTGGGCAGTGTCATAATCATAACTCACTTTAACCTCAATCTCCTGGGCTCAAACTATCCTCCTGCCTTAGTTGCCTGAGTAATTGGGACTACAGGTGCACGACACTATGCCTGATTAATTTTTTATTTTTTTTGTAGAGATGGGGTCTCACTATATTGCGCAGGCTGGTCTTGAACTCCTGGTCTCAAGTTATCTTCTTACTTCACGTTCCTAAAGTGCTGGGGTTACAGGCGTGAGCCGCTGTACCAGGGAGAGTCTGAATTTTAACATGAGTCCCACAGGGATTTGTATCCAAGGAATTTCCAGAACACATTTTCAGAAACACTGGTCTAGGGACTAGGAAGTGAGGACAAGAGTGGGGAGTGACAATTGGGGTATTGAAGGTGAGGGGAGCTTGGGTGTGGGGAGTCTTTTCATGCTTTTTACTCAATTTGGAAATGAGTTTTGCCTGGAGCTTTACCTCTTCCCCCAAATCCTTTTTCCCCACTCAATGGATTTTCTAGTTCCTTTGAAAATGGGCTATGTCTGTTTAACCTATATAAGGTCAGAAAGGCAAAAGTGTCCCTGAAAGATGCTGTCAGGGAGTGCCTCATACACACAACAGAATATACCTGAATTCAGTGTGTGCACCTCAAGGGCAGTCCATTCAGTGACATCTGAATTCAGGGTATCAGCAGCAATGTCATCTCTGATTGTGAAGGACAATGCTGTGTGTATATATTTGGCCTGGTGAGAGAAAAAACATCTTTTGGATATTTTTGCCTTTGAAAGTCATTCACAAGGTTAAAAAATAAATAACTCAGTCACATTGGTTGATTGGAGATAAAACACTAGCTGAGTGACTGAATTGTTTTCTTTCAATCAGTTGTCACAGAATGGTGTAAAGAGAATCTCAGTGCCAGGAGATGGTTTTTTGGCTTGAAATTTTTGGGAACCTACTGCTATTTATGCATAGATAATTATTTCTCTATCTTGCAAAAACATTTAATACTGGATAAAGCAAATCACCTTTTCACAAATCTGAAAGAAGTTTGTTCATGCACTTGTGATGAAATTTTAAACACTAAACAAATATATGTTTAAGGATACTGCATGTTCCAGGCAATGAAGATCTTTAATATGTAAAATAAAATATATAGCCTGGGCAACATGGCGAGATCTCATCTCTATAAAAAATACAAAATAATTAGCTGAGTGTGGTGGTGCACACCTGTAGTCCCAGCTACCTGGGAGGCTGTGGTTAGAGAATCACCTGAGCCATGGGAAGTTGAGGCTGCAGTGAGTTGTGATGGCACCACTGCATTACAGCCAGGGTGATAGAGTAAGACCCTATATCAAAAAAAACCCACCCCAAACCAAACATATATATATATATATATATATATATATATATATATATATATACACACACACACACACATATATATGTATGTATGTATATACATATATGTATATATATAATATTTACATACCATGTATTATATTTATATATGTAGAGCTAAATTGTCAGAAAAGTGCAGCTTACCTCAATCACAGTCCATTGTTCTACTACGATGGCATCATTTCCTTTCCTACTAGAACCTGGAACTCCAGAACCTTCTTCTTCATAGATAAAAAATCCTTCCAAAGATTTAGGCAAATGTTCCCCTGTAAGAAAAAGGATGCAATTAAGAAGGGTTGTAAATACTAAGTGGATCGCAAAATCATCTAAATCCTTAAATAACCCTTATAGGAAACTGAAGGAAAATCATTTCAATTAAAAAACATTTGTTTTGGCTAAATCAATAATATCTTCCTGTGCTTTGACAGTTTTTCTTTTTCCCCAAAGATCAATACTTTTTTTTTTTTACTTCATTGAATTAAAATCCAGCTATACACATAAAAACTATAATAGCAAAAACAAGATAAAATAATGTGGTAGAGTGAGAAGCAAGTGGAAAATCAACCTAAAAGGCATCTGGAAGTGGTCTTCTCTTGAAATAAAAATTTGGTTTCAGATCTATATGTTGCATGCATGTTAATTATACCATTAAGAGAAACAACATAAAAATGTTAGTATTTGAAATTAAAGGCATGATATTAAAATTAATGCTAGGTAAGATTACTTCAAAAGACCTGAACACAGAACAATTCTTTACCTCAATGATGGGCTAAAAAAAAAAAAAAAGAAAAAAAGAAAAACAGGGACAGGAAGACCCTAAACAGAAGTCATTGTCAAAAGAATTCCTGCTGGGAAGGAAGCTTTAAGGGAGGGCCTCTCTGACTTTTTCTTGAATAGCTGACAATAACCAGCTGGCCTACTTGAAACATTTTATGGAAGTTCTTTTGTCTCCTATTTTGCTATAGGAGACATTTTTCCCATGGCCATGTGCTGGTTAAACATTTTGGTTTTTATGCAGTGCAATGTCACATCAAAGTTTCCCTGGTTGACAGATCTAAATTTTAAAAGTCTGCAAAGTTTTCAAATGATCTTTTAAGCTTAAAGATAAAAAAAGACAAAAGTAATTTCGATGTAATTTTCTGTTTTAATTTTTATCAGGCTATATATTTTAAGAGAAAAAATCATTATTATTATTTTTTGACATCAGAATACCATGAAGAATTTGCATTGTTCAGAGTGGTTCCCAAGAACCCGGTAAAGTTTAGTTCCCTAGTTGAAATTGGTTTTCTATTTAAAATATGTATTTCATTTCCTTTAAACATACTTATCTACCGTCTCACCGAAGTGACTAGTGGAATCAAATTTGTTTCTGATTGAAAGTTTATGGCATCACTAGATTATCTTTACAATTGTATGTGTCCCAAGTTCTCTTTTAGATGTATGTGTTTTAAAACAGTTGTATGCTGTGATAATTATGTAGTTAATTATAATCTGCCTCTTTCTTACTTTGGGAGTAAATAATGTGAAAACGCTGGGCTTTGTGGCTCCAGGTCCGTTTTCTTGCTCTCAGTATTGGGGTGTGCTAGCACAGTCCTACCTTTTTTTATCGTGCTTTGCTTTACTGTGTTTTGCAGATAATTTTTTTTCCCCCAAATTGAAGGTTTGTGCCAAATCTGCACTGAACAAGTCTATCAGTGTCATTTGTCCAAAGGCATGTAGTCACTTCATGTCTTGGTGTCACATTTTAGTAATTCTTGAAGTATTTCAACCTTTTTCATTATTATTCTATCTGTTATGGTTGTCTGTGATCAGTGATCTTTGATGTTACTATTGTAATTGTTTTGCGCCACTGAGAATCATGCCCATATAAAATGGTGAATTTAACTGAGAAATGTTGTGGGGGTTCTGACTGCTCCACTCACTGGCCTTTCCCCCATCTCTCTTCCTCTCCTTGAGCCCCCCATTCCCTGAAATTAGGCCAGTTAATAACCCTGAAACAGCCTCTAAATGTTCAAGTGAAAAGAAGAGTCACAACTTTCTCATTTTAAATTAAGAGCTGGGAATGGTGATTAAGCTTAGCAAGGAAGACAAGTCCAAGCTGAGACAGGCGGTACACTAGCCCTCTTGTGTCAGTTGGCCAAGTTGTGAATGTAAGGGGAAAGTTCTTGAAGGAAAATAAAAGTGAATGAATGATAAGAAAGCAAAACAACCTTCTTGATGATATGGAGAAAGTTTTAGTGGTCTGGATGGAAGATCAAACCAGCCACAAGCAATCCCTAAGCCAAAGCCTAATCCAAAGCAAGATCCTGATGCTCTTCCATTCTATGAAGGCTGAGAGAGGGTGAGGAAGCTGTGGAAGAAAAGTTGGAAGCCAACAGAGGTTGGTTCATGAAGTTTAAGGAAAAAAGCAGTCTTCATAACATGAAATTGCAAGGTGAAGGAGCAAGTGCTGATGTACAAGCTGCATCAAGTTATCTAGAAGATCTAGCTAAGAGAACAGATAAAGGTGGCTACACAAAACTACAGATTTTCAATGTAAGTAAAACGATCTTATAGTGGAAGATGTCATCTGAGACTTTCACAGCTAGAGAGGGGAAGTCAATGTCTGGCTTCAAAACGTGGTACAAGCTGACTCCCTTGCTAGGAACTAAGGCAGCTGGGGACTTTAAGTTGAAGCCAACACTAGTTTACTATTCTAAAAATCCTAGGACCTTTAATAATTATGCTAAATCTACTCTGCCTATGATCTAGACATGGAAAACAGGGCCTGGATGACAGCACATCTGTTTATAGCATGGCTTACTGAATATTTTAAGCCCACTATGCAGACCTACTGCTCAGAAAAAAAGATGCTTTTCAAAATATTATGCTTGTTGACAATGCACTTGCTCACCTAAGAGCTCTGATGAAGATATACAAGAAGATTAATGTTTTCGGCCGGGCGCAGTGGCTCAAGCCTGTAATCCCAGCACTTTGGGAGGCCGAGGCGGGTGGATCACGAGGTCAAGAGATCGAGACCATCCTGGTCAACACGGTGAAACCCCGTCTCTACTAAAAATACAAAAAATTAGCTGGGCATGGTGGCGCATGCCTATAATCCCAGCTACTCAGGAGGCTGAGGCAGGAGAATTGCCTAAACTCAGGAGGCGGAGGTTGCGGTGAGCCGAGATCGCGCCATTGCACTCCAGCCTGGGTAACAAGAGCGAAACTCCGTCTCAAAAAAAAAAAAAAAAAAAAAGATTAATGTTTTCATGCCTGCTAACACAACACCCATTCTGCAGCCCATGGATCATGGAGTCACTTTGACTTTCAAGTCGTATATTTAAGACATACAATTTGTAAAGCTATAGCTGCCACAGATAGTGATTTCTCTGATGGATCTGGGCAAAATAAATTTAAAATCTTCTGGAAAGGACTCACTATTCTAGATGCCTTTAAGAGCATTTGTGATTCATGGGAGGAGGTCAAAATATCAACATGAACAGGAGTTTGAAATAAGTTGATTCCAATTTTCACGGGTGACTTTGAGGGGTTCAGGACTTCAGTGGAGAAAATAACTACAGATGTGGTGAAAATAGTGAGAGCTAGAATTAGAAGTGGAGTCCAGCCGGGCGCGGTGGCTCAAGCCTGTAATCCCAGCACTTTGGGAGGCCGAGGCGGGTGGATCACGAGGTCGAGAGATCGAGACCATCCTGGTCAACATGGTGAAACCCCATCTCTACTAAAAGTGCAAAAAATTAGCTGGGCATGGTGGCACGTGCCTGTAATCCCAGCTACTCAGGAGGCTGAGGCAGGAGAATTGCCTGAGCCCAGGAGGCGGAGGTTGTGGTGAGCCGAGATCGCGCCATTGCACTCCAGCCTGGGTAACAAGGGCGAAACTCCATCTCAAAAAAAAAAAAAAAAAAAAAAAAAAAAGAAGTGGAGCCCAAAGATAGGACTAAATTGCTGCAATCTTGTAGTAAAACCTGAATGGATGAGGAGTTGCTTCTTATGGAGGAGCAAAGAAAAGAAAGAAAGTGATTTCTTTCCTTCTGGTTTTTTTTTTTTTTTTGAGGCAGAGTCTCACTCTATTGCCCAGGCGGGAGTGCAGTGGCATGATCTCAGCTCACTGTAACCACCACTTCCCAGGTTCAAGCGATTCCTGTGCCTCAGCCTCTTGAGTAGCTGGGACTACAGGCATATACCACCATGCTGGCTAATTTTTGTATTTTTATTTATTTATTTTTGAGATGGAATTTTGCTCTTGTTGCCCAGGATGGAGTGCAATAGCATGATCTTGGTTCACTGCAATCTCTGCCTCCTGGGTTCAAACAATTCTTCTGCTTCAGCCTCCCGAGTAGCTGGGATTACAGGCATGTCACTACTTCTGGCTAATTTTGTATTTTTAGTAGCGACAGGGTTTCATTGTATTGGCCAGGCTGGTCTCAACTCCTGACCTCAAGTAATCCTCCCGCCTTGGCCTCCCAAAGTGCTGTGATTACAGTGTGAGCCACTGTGCCCAGCCTAGAAAGTGGTTTCTTAAAATAGAATCTACTCCTGGTGAAGATGCTGTGAATATTATTGAAGTGACAAAGAAGGATTTAGAATATTACGTAAACTTAGGTGATAAAACAGTGGCAGGGGTTGAGGGGATTGACTCCCATTTTGAAAGAAGTTCTACTGTGGTTAAAATGCCATCAAACAGCATCATATGCTAGAGAGAAATCTTTCGTGAAAGGAAGAGCCAATTGATGCAGCAAATTTCACTGTATTATTTTAAGAAATTGCCACAGCTGGCCAGGTGCAGTGGATCATGCCTATAATCCCAGCACTTTGGGAGGCTGAGACAGATGGGTCACTTGAGCTGAGGAGTTCAAGACCAGCCTGGCAACATAGTGAGACTCCGTCTCTAAAAAAGAAAGTACAAAAATTAGCCAGTATGGTGGTGTGCACCTGTGGTCCCAGCTACCCAACAGGCCAAGGTGGGAGGATTGCTCAAACCCAGGAGGCGGAGGTTGCAGTGAGCTGAGCTGAGATCACATCACTGCACTCCAGCCTGAGCGACAGGGTGTGACTCTGTCTCAAAAGTGAAAAAAATGAAATTAGATATTGCTACAGCTACCCCAACCTTTAGCAACCACCACCCTGATCAGTCAGCCGCCATCAACACAGAGGGAAGACCCTCTACCACCAGGCTGGTCTCAAACACTTGGCCTCCAGGGATTCTCCCACCTTGGCCTCCCAAAGTACTAGGGCTAAAGGCAGGAGCCACTGTGGTGGCCCATTCTTTTCAAATATATTCATCTTATGTAAAAGCCACTCAATCTTAAAGTAATATTGATGCTCCAGAAAGAGTTGTAGCCTGAGAACTTGTGAACTTGTGTGCTCCCTGGCACAAGGCTGCATATCCTGAGGGTACTTGAACCCTGGTTTGAAAAGCACATGTTTGAAGGGCTCTCAGGGAATAGTTCACTTTTCTGGATATGTCTTGTCTTTTAGCTAGATATGACATTGACATTCCTGTAAAGGTGTGGAGAGGTAACACTCCATTTTAGCATTTTGTTTACCGTGTCATTTTTGGTATTCAACTGCCCACCAGAGGTGGGCCCAGGACCATCTTTGAAGTAGAGGGCAGGCACATAGGATAACTCTAAAAGCAATCTTAGCCTATCCACTTCTTTCCATCTCCACCGACATCTCTCTAGGGACCGTTGCAACAGCCTCTCGGCAGCTTCCCCACCACACTTCCACTCTTGCCCTCTAATCCATTTCTCATAATGAGGACAAAGAAATTTCCCTCCCCTCCTCTCCCCTCCCCTTCTCTTCTCTTTCTGTCTCACTCTGTTGCCTGGGCTGGAGTGCAGTGGCATGATCTCGGCTCACTGCAACCTCTGCCTCCTGGGTTCAAGAGATTCTCCTGCCTCAGCCTCTTGAGTAGCTGGGACTATAGGTGCCCATCAAGCCTGGCTAATTTTTGTGTTTTTAATAGAGAACAGAGTTTTGCCATGTTCGCTGGGCTGGTCTTCAACTCCTGACCTCCGCCCGCTTTGGCCTCCCAGAGTGCTGGGATTACAGGCATGAGCCACGGCTCCCGGCCAGAAATTCTTCAAAAAATGTAAATGAAATCATGATTCCCTCTTTAAATCTTGAATGAATGAATTGGAATAAATGTCTTGGTAAAAGCACACACCCTATTTAGGTGGCTCCACCACCTTCCAGTTATGTGAACGTGGGCACCTTATTTAAAATCTCTGTGCTTCAGTTCCTTCACATGTAAAAGGAGAATAAGCATGGCCTGGCACGGTGGCTCATGCCTGGAATCCCAGCACTCTGGGAAGCTGAGGCTGGAGGATCACTTGAAGCCAGGAGTCTGAGACCAGCCTGGGCAGTAAAGTGAGACCTATCTCTACAAAAAAGTTTAAAAGATTAGCTGGGTGTGGTGACGTGCAAGGAGTCCTGGTTACTCGGGAGGCCGAGGTGGCAGGATTGCTTGAGCCCAGGAGTTCAAGGCCATAGTGAACTATGATTGTACCCCTGCACTTCAGCCTGGGTGAGAGTGAGACCCCATCTACAAATAAATAAATAAATAAATAAATAAAGTTAAAAAACCAGGAAATCATCATCTTTACCTCACAGGTTGCTGTGGGGACTAAATGAGTTGATGAATGCAAAGTGCTTAGCACAACGCTGCTGTACAGAAAGTAAAAAATAAGGTGTTTTTTGCGGTTGTTGCATTCTTCTTGTTTAGGACTCCACAGGGACTGGCTGCTGCTTACCTCTTGCACTGTGTCCACAGCCATTCTCTTCCCTGCCTTGTTCCAGAAACACAGACCTTTTCCCAGTTCCTCTTTCCTGCCCTAAGGTCTTTGTACCTTTAGATGTGTTTCTTCGGCCTAGAATGGTCTATCTCTGGTTCTCACAGGCCTGCTCCTCTCTAGTTGCCTAGTCTCGGTGTGATGGCTGCCTTCTCAGAGGGGACCTCCCGACCACCTCTTGAAGTGGATTCTTCCCTGGTACTCTCGCCATAATATCCTCTACGGTCATGTCACACAATTTTCTTAGTTTTGAAATTAGATATGTATGCTTTGACACTTTTACTGCTTGACTGCCCGATGCCACACAGCTAGTGCCTTGAGAGTAGGAAAGAGTATTATAAACCCAGTGCCTGGCATGGGCCTGGCACATATGAAATGAGTAAAGAGACGTTTGAATGTTATTACTCCATCCCCACTCTTCATTGTACTACCTCTCCTCCACTAGCGCCACATAAACATTTTTACAGGAGTGGAAAGATTAAAATGAATAACAAGTAAACGCTGATAAGAATGCATAAAAATTCAAAATGTAAGGCCAGGCATGGTGGCTCATGCCTGTAATCCCAGCACTTTGGAAGCTGAGTGAGTGGATCACAAGGTCAGGAGTTCAAGACCAGCCTGGCTAACATAGTGAAACCCTGTCTCTACTAAAAATACGAAAAATTAGCCAGGTGTGGTGGCATGCATCTGTAATCCCAGCTACTCGAGAGGCTGAGGCAGGAGAATTACTTGAACCCGGGAGGCAGAGGTTGCAGTGAGCCGAGATCACACCATTGCACTCCAGCCTGGGTGACAGAGTGAGACTCTGTCTCAAAAAAAAAAAAGAAAAAAATCAGATTGTAGCCTTAGATGTGATATGCTACGCTGTGGAAAGACTATGCTCTGTGGGCGGTGGGGCATTTGGAGGCTGGTGAAGTGTAGGCGCCTCAAGGGTGATTGTGCCTGTGTGTCCCAGGGTGTGCTTCACAGCAGCAAAGGCTGTTTGAGTGTGGAGGGGCACTGAGAAGGAATTTCACAGATCTTAAAACTTTTTCCTCTGACTCTGCTGAAGTAGAAAACTCTCTAAACATTTGTTCCCCCTCTCTCTGTTTCTGGAGGGAGGCATTTTATTCAACGTGATTTGTGGGGTAATATATTTAAATTTCTGAGCACTGTCTGGTTTTGTTCTTCCATTCCTCATGGTGGGCTAACTTCTGACAACATTTTGGAAGAGAACAGAAGCAAGACCAAAAATATGCATTGCCTGCCCCCACCACCCGTCCCCATGTGCTTTAGATGTCAGGCATCAAACATCCCAGAACAAAGCCACCAATTCAGCCCTGCTTCCTTTGACTTGCTTCTCACAGTGACAGATATTGGTCACAATTTCCCCTCAGCAACTTCCCTGTGTACTCCCAGGAAAGTCCCAAATGACATGCCCAGTTGGCAGACCCCACAGACCGATGTGGCTTGTGAGGGGCTTGGCATGGTGTGTAATGTCAAATGTCTAATGAGACATTCTAGAGCTGCTGAGAGGGGGAGATTCTGCGTCCCTCCCTATCCCCCCGCCCCCCACGAGCTCCTGAGAGAGGGAGTCTCCCTGGGGTTCTCTAAATAGCTTCTGAGGCTTTAAGAACAAAAGCCACACAGAGCCGGGCTGGCAACAGCTGTGGCTAATTTTATTTTCATCAGGCAGTACCCAAGGCAGGGATGCCTGAGAGAGACTGGGAAAAGAGTATGTTTTGTTTCTCTGTTCAGCAGTTAGTCACACACCAAAATTTGAAATGGCTTCAACTTAGACGTTTTGGAGAGAAGAGAAACAGGTGAGAGAGAGAGAGAGATTATGAAGCATAAACTGACCTCTAAATAGATGATCCATACTAAAAGTATTGTAACTGCACATAACAAGTACAAGTGGCAGGGAAGAAAACTAACACCAGAAAATGAACTCTGACTGTTGGCTAGGCATTATAGGAGTCACTTTACATTTATTATATCTTATTACATCCTCACAAAAATAAAAAGTAGGAGTATTTTTATTCCTCTTTAGGAAACTGAGGCTCAATGAGCTCAACAAACTTCCCAAATGACAAAGCTAATAAGTAGAAGACATAGGATTTAAACCTTGATCTGTCTGATTCTAAAGCTCATGCTCTTCCTATGAAACTTTGCTGTTACTATAAAAGGTCAAGTTGAAAGAAGCTTCCAATAACCAAAAAGTACTAAGAAATATTTTATATATATATTTGAGACAGGGTCTCAATCTGTCACCCAGGCTAGAATGTGGTGGTACAATCACGGCTCACTGCAGCCTTAGTCCTTCCACCTCAGCCTCCTGATCAGTTGGGAATACAGGTGTCTGCCATCATGCCCGACTAACTTTTTGTATTTTTTATAGAGACGAGGTTTTGCCATGTTGCCCAGGCTGGTCTCAAACTCCTTGACTCAAGCAATCTGCCTGCCTTGGCCTCCCAAAGTGATGGGATTGCAGGTGTGAGCCACGATGACTGGCCTACTGAAAAATACTAAGAAATATTTATTAAGTACCTGTCGTGTGCCAAGCACTATGCAAGGTGTTGTATTTCTGGGTGCTCCAATGGGCTTGATCCTAAATATTGCTAGTTAAAAGGGCCTATTGGAACATGACTTCTGATAATTTAAAGTATCATCCAAAGTCTTTAGTTGCATCAGTTAAGGTAATACAAGGTTGATTTAACAATAGTAAGGTACAGGGAGATCTTATTTGCTTTCATGCTTTCCTCTAACCTCATAGAGTTAGGGTTCCTAATTATCCTGGCTTTCATAACCTTCATCTTTCCTAATGCATTTTTCTAGTTTCCTTACTACCTTTTCTTCTTTTTTAAACACTCATCTCTTTAAAAAAATCTCCCTAGAAAATCATACTTGAGAATTTTTAATCGTCTTCATTTTCGCGATAGACACAAATGATTACATACTCCATTATAACTAAATGAGAAAGGCTAGAGAGGAATGAAAGACAAGATGAACACAGAAATAAGAACAGAGCCAACATCATTTTCTAAACTAAACATTACTTTTCTATACAAATTATAGAAAGAATCAGGTATAGACTGACTATATACATGGTAGTGTCCAAAATTGGGATAATGTAATAAATATGAATAGTAACCATGAAATGCCTTCATAAACCTCCCATTTGGACTATTATAATACATCTTATTTGAAAAATTCTCCTAGTAAATCATGCAGTGGTTTCCCAATTACAACCCAACAGTGAACATTTTACGTTATAATTCTGCCCACACACTGGGTGTCCACTGCGCTTAAGGAGCTTTAAGCTTTTAAATTAAAGCTACATATCTGTGTAACAGTTGGAATTTATTTCCTTAGGAATAATATCTGTCCTTTCAGCCATAGAACTTAGGAGACAAAAACATTTTCACTGATTTTGATACAAGTTCAAATTCTTTAGATATCATTAACATAAAACTTACCTTTAGATGTTTCCCAGAATACAAAAGAATCAATTAAAGACAAGCCTTGTTTATAATAAAATGTAGTTAATTCCAGCCAATCGGCATCAAGCGTGCTAATGACTGATCCTTTTCTGGTTACTTTCATTGACAGGATGCCTTCCTGATAGGTCCAGGAGGCTGAATCATCATCAAAAACATTGAAGACTGTATACAATTTGTTGTCTGAGGCTAGGCATTCAGAAGGAGAAAAAAGGGGGAAAATTATAATTTTATTGATTAAAGATTCTTAATTTTCTCACTAGTCATGAGATAGTCCAAGCATACAAACAAGCACTCAACTTAATGAAATGTCAATATTATGTTTGCTTCAGCCTATTTTTTCAAAGAAATGAAAAATAGATACAGTTGAGGCTACTATGTAGTATCCTCTAATTCTATTCTCCAGAGATAAGTACTATAATGAAGTTGGTGTTTATTATTCTCATGCAAGCTTTTATTCTTTTAATACATCTTTCTATACCCACAAATTATGTGTAACATTTTAGAGTTTGAAAACATTAAAAAAGGTATCCTACTGTAGATATGAACTGACTTTTTGTTCAACATGCCTTTAAAATGTAAACAACCATATAGACCTTATTCATTTATTTAAACTGCTACATAGAATGCCAATGTTCTATTCTCCTTTTAGTGGACATATCCATTATTTTCAATTTTTTTTGTTATTACAAACTTTCTATCTCCTTGGACACGTGTGAGACTGACTCTAGAACAGACATGGAAATGCTAGATCATACCTTCTACTTTACTAGGAATTAGCCAATTCTTAACTTGGGGTCAAAGGATCCACACCTATAGTTGTGTTTTAGGAAGTTTAACATCATCTGTATGACAGACCAAAGTATCTGGGTTCCATGGATTTCACCAGATACTCAAAAAGGTCTTTTGTGCATTCTCCCATTCTCCCTCCTCTAATTAAAAACCACTGCTACAGAAATGTTATTGAGAAGTATATAGTTTAAAAGTACAGAGAAAGAGAGGAATCTAATGATTGATAGTTACATTAAGTACTATATTGGATTTAGAACTTAAAGGACTAGAAATAGACATCTGATTTGCTCAAAGTGAGGGTGGGAACTCATGGAGTTTAAAGGTAGCACTGGGCGGAAGATAGTGAATAGCTCTCCTACTGTAATTCCAATATCTCTTGACCACTTTTACATTTTGATATGGTTTGGCTGTATCCCCACCCAAATCTCATCTTTAACCATAGTTCCCATAAACTCCACATGTTGTGGGAGGGGCCAGGTAGTGATAATTGAATCATGGGGGCAGTTTTTTGCATTCTATTCTAGTGTCAGTGAGTTAGTTCTCACAGGATCTGATGGTTTTTATAAGGGGTTTCCCCCTTTGCTAGTCTTTCATTCTTCTCTCTCCTGCCACCACGTAAAAAATGACATGTTTGCTTTGCCTTCTGCCATAACTGCCAGTTTCCCAGGGCCTCTCCAGCCATGCTGGACTGTGAGTCAGTTAAATACCTCTTTCTTTTACAAATTACCCAGTCTTTATTAGCAGCATGAGAACAGACTAATATACATTCCTATAATTTTTACATTGCAGAAAAATCAGGGAAGTTGTTAGCTAGGGGAACAGGTGAAAAAAGAGGATGATGGTGGTGGTGGTGGAGATGGGTGAGATCTAAGTTGGTAAATGCTCCTAGTTATTTTTTCAGGAGGTGCAGCTTATGTGGCTAAATGAATCTCTGCCATGTATAGGATAATAAGCACATCAAAACATGACCCAGAAAGCCTGATACCAAGGCGTGCTCCTCCAGTGCCAAGACTGATTGAAGGATCAGTTAATAGCAGTTAACAGAGTTTATTCTGTGCCAGGCACTGGGTCAAGCACTTTGTAGACATTTCTTATTTACTTCCCATAATAACCCAATAAGGAAGTTCCTATTACCCTCTTTTTATAAAGAAATTGAGATATCTGATTCCCGAGCGTATGTGTAGCCTTTGCTTTTCTCTGATAGTGCTTTTTTTAAAGCATGCCCACAAAGGTATCAGAAAACTTTGAATTGTCCTAAATGCATGAATAAAATATTCTCAGTTTCTTGGGAAAACTTGCTAGCTGGCACAGAAGAATGCAACGGTTGTTCAAAGTTATTTTAGAATGCAGGCACTATTGTTATATTAATTGTTTCATCACGATGTGCCAGTTTCATATTCTAGTTGATGATCAAAGAAAGCCAATTAATTTCAAAGGTGAAAATCATCCATGAAGTGGGAAAGGCCAAAACAAAAATTCCCACACGCTGTTTATTAGTACAAACATAGATCAGAACAGCTTTTTAGACTTAATAGACTCACTTATTTAGTACACATGTACAGCCTCCAATTTACAAGGGAATTTTTTATGACTAGATGGAAACCAGTCTTCAACACAAAGTTTCATTATGTGGATGGCATTGTATGTCCTGCCAGACACAAATGTCTAAAAAACTGCCCTGCCTTATTGCTGGCTGTAATAACTTTTAAAAATCATGACAAGTTTACATTAGTTCATTTAGTCGTTATAATCTTTAGCCACTTACTTTGCCTCCTATTTCTGAAAGAAAACCTCAAAAATGTATTTTGCTTAAACTATAGTATCTTTTCTTTCAACCAATCGTATCTATTACCTTCTTCCTTTCTTGATTTAGAAGAACTGGGGCTGCCATTTTGTCCCATTTGATATTGTCCACTATCATGATGAAGTTCTTCTTCAATTCCACTTTCAGATGACTGCCCGCTTAATGTCCCTTCATTCCAACTTCTACAGTTTTCATCTGAACCATGTCTCACATGTAGCATTGATTCTATATCTCCATCATGGTTGGTTCCATTGCAGAATTTAGATGGAGAATAATGCTGTGATATGAATCCAACAAATTTCATTCCTCTTTTAGCAGCGACATTAATCTGATATATAAAAAAATGGCAGAATAAAATGTAAGCTCTATTTTCAGTGATTACTTTATCAATTAACCTTTAGGCTTACCGAGGAAATCCACTAGAATATGGAGTAACTTGATTAGTAACAAAAAAACTCATTCATAAACCAATTAAGCACCTGTAAAATAGCACTGCTCCCAAGACCATGCCACACAATCATCATGACCTTCAAACAGAACCAAATATACTTTAAAAATTATGAAAACAGGAATTATTTTTTCTCTGAAGGGCCACTGTTTGGGAAGAATAATTCTGTAGCATGATTTTTGCAGACCATTTAACAATGATGTCTCCAGTTGGAGCAAAATTAATACCTAGTCCAAGAAATCCCTAAAACTAACATTACCAAATACATCTTCATTAATAAACAAGATTTATTAATTTAAAAGCAAAAAACATATAGTTTTGTTTATTTGATGGTAACAAAGAAAAATGTTAAAAGACTGATTCTAGACAAACATGTAGGTATAAAGCATAAGCTCAATTCATACCACTACTCTTACAAAGCTTTCTGATCAGCTTATGTCTTTATTCTATTGTCTCCTCTCTGGCCAAATACATAGGATTAGATTCAATCCTATCAGTTAAAGAATAGGATTCTAATGCATATGCTATAATACCAGTGAAATAATTTTTGAGAACGTAACGCTTATTTTCACACTCAGCACTTTTCCCATTGACATATCTGTAAGATTTAACTCTTATTTAAATATAACAGCCAAAAACCTAAGGCATGTTCCTCTATGCTTTTACTTCATTTCTTTGTTCTATTTGTCTTCTTCATGTGTTCAACTGGCAGCTCCTTTGAAGGCAGGGACTATGTCTTATCCATCTTTGTATTGCAGTTTTTTGCACTCATAGGTGCTGTATAAGTACTAGTTAAATTAGTTAAATGAAGAAATAGCAATGTCTTTGATATGGCTATGGTTTTAAACATTTAAATTAAATGTTTTAAATGTTACCTGGAAGGAGAGGAGAGAATTATGATGGAGATTGCAAATGCAAATATTTAGAGTCAGAATAAAATGGAATGAGAAAAGCCAAGAGGAACTGGGGCAGAACAGAGAGCAATGCCCAGTCAATGGGGATAACTTAATTCACTCAGCTCCAGCTTTGATGTAATAACCAAGTGAGTTAGAAGAAATGTGCCACACACTGAGTTTCAAATTAAGAGTCCTTTTTATTAGCTGGTGACCAAGAGATGGCTAATGCTCAAAGTTCTCTCAGCCCCGAGGAAGGGGTTTGATTTTCCTTTATACCTTAATTTAGGTAGGGGAGGGGGTACCTAGCTGAAGTGGAATTTTACAGAAGCAGAACAGGCAAGTTAGCTAGTAATCAGCGGGGAGGAGGTTCCCAGGATTGTTGGTTGCTAAGGGTATTTCCAAACAGTCACCAAGGGGAGTTCAAAGAGAGTTATACACAATAGCAAGTGTGCTTGCCAAGCAGGATGCAGTTACATTGGTTATATGGTAGGACAAGCACAGAGTCAGCGTGACAGAAGCACAGCATCAGTGTGGCCCAGTTATGCACCCAAAGAGGCTGTAGTAGGGAGGGGGAAGCTAGGTTTGCAGCTAAGATGGAGTCAGTTAGGCTAACCCAGGTTAGGTTATTACAGTGAAGCAGGAGAATTCTGAGAAGGGGGAGAGAGTGTGGGTGTGTGGAGCTAGGACAAGGGACTAGAGCTGGTGAAATAGTATTTATTCCTACGAATTAACATATTGAGATTGTAACCATTTAAAATAACCACAAATTTTCCTTTATATCAGTTGTCCTGGGAGAGAAGAAGAAGGAGGGATAGAGACATAGCATTCTGCAGGTAGAAATGGGTGAATTTATTGTCAGTGCTTTCTCTAGGTCTCATTAGCTGATTTCAGTGAAAAGATGCAGAAAAGCTTTTTTTCTTTTTCTTTTTCTTTTTTTTTTTTCTTGAGACAGAGTCTCAATCTGTCACCAGGCTGGAGTGCAGCAGCGCAATCTTGGCTCATTGCAACATTTGCCTCCCAAGTTCAAGTGATTCTCCTGCCTCAGCCTCCTGAGTAGCTGGGACTACAGGCATGCACCACCACGTCCAGCTAATTTTTGTATTTTTAGTAGAGACGGAGTCTCACCATGTTGGCCAGGATGGTCTCGATCTCTTGACCTCGTGATCCGCCCACCCTGGCCTCCCAAAGTGCTGGGATCATAGGCATGAGCCACCATGCCTGGCTGCTTTTTTCTGTTACTAGGAAATTTTATCTGGAAAGGTCTGGTAACAAATATAATATTATTATTTTTTTCCATTTTTCAAATTGGAGGATTGTTATTTTTAAAATGCTATTTTTAGTATAAAATTCTGAGAAACCTAATTTTAAAATTAGAGTGAACACTGGTATAATGTTGGAACTTAAAAGTTAGCTGTTCAACAACCAACTCTACACAAGGCAGCCACTCAAAAATAATATTTTGCATTCATCTGTGGCTCTTGTTCATACCTGGAGCAATTGTCAAATATTTCATGTGCTATGTTTCCTGAAGCTTTTCTTTTAATGAAATAACCCCGTTACTCGAATTGCTGAAATAACAGTACTTTCCTGTTTAAACAGATCTTTAACTGTGTCCAGGAAATCAAATGCAAAACAAGGGCTCTGATGGTGATCTATTAAGACTAAATTAGTAGCTACATTTTTGTTTTCAAAATAAATTTGCTGGAGTGGATTTATTACCAGAAAAAAAACTTCCCAGACTAATACTAATAAACAATATGCATACTTTGTTTCCAAATTGAGTCTCAAAGAGTTTTCCTAAAAACCCTTATTGAATTGTGTGACTTTGTACCTAAATGGAAAATAATCATTAGCAACTATAACTGGCTACCCCCAAACCACAGATAATCATACATACATGGTATTTTAAAACTTGGAGGCAACAAGAGAAACAAGTGAACATGTTTCACAGTTTCTTACCTGAAAGAAAATGCCTTAGGTTTTAGCTGTATTTAAATAAAAAGTAAAACTTTATAAATATGTCAGTGCAATGGAAAAAAAAAACTGCTTTCACTATAAAATTTCATCAATTCAGAATATTTATGAATATATAACTTTTTTGTTTTAATCAATACACATATAGCATTCAACTTTTCAGTTAAGTTTCAATTAAGTTATATGGTATAGGTTTTTCTATCTTGACAGTCAATATAGTTGTCATGCTTAATGCCTGTGAAATACTCTTTTATATTAATCTGCCATCATCTCTTTCAAAGTCTTCCAGTTATTGAGAATTTGGACCCTTATTCACTGTTGATTAAATATCTTTATATAAAAATGATTTTTCCCATTTCAGTTATTTTCTTTTTTTTTTTTTTAAAGATGGGGTTTCACCATGTTGGTCAGGCTGGTCTTGAACTCCCAACCTCAGGTGATCCACCCGCCTTGGCCTCCAAAGTGCTTGGATTACAGGCGTGAGCCACCACGCCCGGCCTTCAATTATTTTCTTAAAATAAATTCCTAAGGAGGGAATTACAACATAAAACAGGATTCACGGCAGGGCGTGGTGGCTCACACCTGTAATCCCAGCACTTGGGAGGCCACGGCAGTAAGATTGCTTGAGACCAGGAGTTTAAGACTAGCCTGGGAAACACAGACTCCTGTTTTTACAAAATAAAAAAATTAGCTGGGTGTTGTGTCACATGCCTGCAATCCCAGTTACCAGGGAGGCTAAGGCAGGAGAATTGCTTGAGTTGGAGACTTTGAGACTGCAGTGAGCTATGATTTTACCACTGCACTCCAGATTATTTTCTCTTAAAAAAAGAAAGCAAGACAAAACAAAACAGGATTTATGATTCTTCTTACTAAATAGATATTCAAGAATATTGCATTAATTTGTTACAATTCCACTTGCATTATGAATGTTAACTTTTCTTTGTTTTTATTATTGTTATTATCAGAGATACAGTGTTGCTCTATCACCCAGGCTGGAGTGCAGTGGCTTGATCACAGCTCACTGCAGGCTCACTTCTGGGCTCAGGTGATCCTCCTGCCTTACCTTCCTGAGTACCTGCTACTACAGGCACATGCCACCAGGTCCAGCTGATTTTTTTTTTTTTCTTCAGGTTTTGTAGAGTTGGAGTCTCACTATGTTGCCTAGGCTGGTCTTGGAATTCCTGACCTCAAGTGGTCCTCCCACCTCAGCCTCCCAAAGTGTTGGGATTACAAGTGCGAGCCACCACACCTGGACTTAACTTTTCTTAAAGCTTTGCTAACACTCGATTTTAATTAAATTTCCTGGTTTAACACTGGTGAGTTCTCAGTTTTTATTTACATTAAATATTATTAGGTTGAACCTGTTACCAAGTGTCTTCTAATTATTATTATTTTCTTTTTGAGACGGAGTTTCGCTCTTGTTACCCAGGCTAGAGTGCAATGGCGCGATCTCGGCTCACCGCAACCTCCGCCTCCTGGGTTCAGGCAATTCTCCTGCCTCAGCCTCCTGAGGAGCTGGGATTACAGGCACGCGCCACCATGCCCAGCTAATTTTTGTATTTTTAGTAGAGATGGGGTTTCACTATGTTGACCAGGATGGTCTCGATCTCTTGACCTCGTGATCCACCCGCCTCAGTCTCCCAAAGTGCTGGGATTACAGGCTTGAGCCACCGCGCCCGGCCCGTCTTCTAATTATTGATGTTTCTCTCTTTTATATTTGCTGTCCATGGTCTCTGTCTATTTAAGATTGCATATTACTTTTGTGGATTTGTATTCCTTTCCTGTGATGTATATTTTGAAAATGAAGCTCCCATAGGACACATCTGTTGCAGATTTCCCTTCGATTCTTCCTTTTTAAGCTTAATTTTCCTAGTAGAGTTAAGTTATATTTATATACTCAAACTCCTTAACGTAGTCATTGCATGTATTTACTCTTCATTTTCTTTTTTTTATATTAAAAATTACCTTTTTATCTCGTCTGAAATGTGGAATTTATTCTCTACAGAGCAATTGTCTACTTTCCCAACAGCATTCATTAAATAATGGTTGTTCCTCCATTTTATTTCATCAGGTTTGTCATTAAACTTCTTATATTTGTTTATATTTAGTTCTGGTTGTCCATTTTGTTTCACTGGCCTGTATTTCTGTTTTAAACTCTTTTCAATTTGACACAAGTGCTTTGATGTGTTTTAAATTCTGGTAGAAAAGTTACCTGTTATTTTCCTATTCTTTATTTCTCTTTTTTCTTTTTTTATTCTTCCTAACATATTCTATCATATTTTTATTTTTGTATCTCTTTTTTTTCATTTTCCTATTCTTTTTAGGGTAAAAAAGAAAATTGATGAAGAAGAAATACCAAATGTTTCTCAATAGTCCATGAAAACGTGCATAAATTTAGTACCTTTTCTATCAGTTCTTTTGCTACGTCATTTGTTTGTGCCTCAGAAGTTAGAGGACATTCCTCAATCACAAGCCTTGGGCGTCTTTGTCCACTCGGTGCTGCTGAATTCTTTGGGCTGTAACAGAGGGAATATGTTCATGATTGGAGGCCAATTGCTGCTTTTCAGCTAATATGCCCATGTGAAAATTAGTGAGCAACTCACAAACTAGGTCAAGGTAATCGTTTTTTGTTATTTCAAGCCTGATGGCTATCTTCTTACATAAAAATACCAGAAAAACACAATAACTTCTCTTAACTCAAATTTCCTTAAACTGCTATTAATTTAATTTGTAATTTAGAAAGAAAGAAAAGCTTCAAGTCTGTTGTTCTAATAAAAGTTATAAGAAATAATTTTAGATTGTTGTTATAGCTCATCAAACAAAAGCACAAGTAAAAATTCTAGTTAAATGCAGATAAATATTGCCCTTTTTCCTTTTTCTTCTTTTCTGATCTTTTTTCTTTGCTTATTCTTAGCCTTGCCAGGATACTGCTAAGTCTATCTGAAGTAATTTTAAAAGCAGAAAAGATAATTCACACATGGTTGATAAGATTTGTAATTAGGACATGAGCATTACTACTGTCCAAAAATGTCATGTTTGCTTAGTAATGCTTGAACTAGTAAATATCTGATGAGGCTTTATATTTTAGTGAAAGCGGAAGCCTGTACACTCCACCAGACATGTTTAAGTATGCAATTACTTCGTGGGAGACAGTGTCCCTTAAAAACATGCCTGGATTTTTTTTTTTTTTTTTTTTTTTTTTTTTGAGACAGAGTCTTGCCTCGCTCTGTCACCTAGGCTGGAGTGCAGTGGCACGATCTCGGCTCACTGCAACCTCTGCCTCCGGGGTTCAAGTGATTTTCCTGTCTCAGCCTCCTAAGTAGCTGGGATTACAGGTGTGTGCCATCACGCTCAACTAATTTTGTATTTTCAATAGAGATGGAATTTCACCGTGTTAGCCAGAATGGTCTCGATCTCCTGACCTCGTGATCTGCCCTCCTTGGTGTCCCAAAGTGCTGGGATTCCAGGTGTGAACACCTGGAATCCTTTAAGGCCCTTTCTTGTCTTTTTTTTTTATTTTTTTATTTAAAGTTTCCTATTTTCTTGGTTTTCCTCTAATTTCATTTTTCCTTCTCTGCTTAGCCCTCTCATAAAGTGATTGTTGTTGATCCATCACAATAAAGAGAAAACACAGTTTTTTCCCTGGTCTTTGAGATGGTTTTGATATACAGTCATGCACTGCATAATGATATTTCTGTCAACAATGGACCACATATGCAGTGGCAGTCCCATCAGATTAACGTATTTTTACTGTACCTTTTCTATCTTTAGGTATGTTTAGCTATACAAATACTTATTACTGTGTTATTATTGCCTACAGTATTCAGTTGGTAACAGACTGTACAGGCATGTAGTCTTGGAGCAATGGGCTACATCATATAGCCTCGGTGATAGCAGACTGTTCCATCTAGGTTTGTGTAAGTGCACTCTATGATGTCCATACAATGATGAAACGGCCTAAGGACACACTTCTCAGAATGCATCCCTGGCATTAAGTGACATATTAGTTGAAGAGTTACGTAAAAAAATGTAATGTGTTAATCTAAGATATTTGTCCGGTTATCTTTATTCTTCATTGGAAAGAGCAACAGTATTTTACCATGAAAACCATCAAATTTACAATCTAGGGTGCCAAAAATGGTTGCAGTATTGTTTGAAAAAGTAGCTATTAAAATAAAAAACACTACAATGGTTAACCTTTAAATTCTATTTTGGGAAAAGGGCAGAGGTCTATCCAACTTGTGAGAACTTGTCATAGTAGGTCTTTCTGTTATTAAAAGTTTTAGAATGAGCTGGGCACAGTGGCTCATGCCTGTAATCCTAGCACTTTGGGAGGCCGAGGTGGGTGGATCAACTGAGGTCAGGAGTTTGAGACCAGCCTGGCCAACATATTGAAACTCCGTCTCTACTAAAAATACAAAAAATTGCCAGGTATGGTGGCGAGCACCTGTAATCCCAGCTATTCGGGAGGCTGAAGCAAGAGAATAGATTGAACCCTGGAGGCCGAGGTTGCACTGAGCTGAGATCATGCCATTTCACTCCAGCTTGGGCAACAAGAGCGAAACTCTGTCTTGAAAAAAAAAAAAAAAAAAAAAAAAAAGCTTTAGAATATAGAGATAGTTTCTGTTGCCACTATTAAAAAACAATGCAGAGGCCGGGCGCGGTGGCTCAAGCCTGTAATCCCAGCACTTTGGGAGGCCGAGGCGGGTGGATCACGAGGTCGAGAGATCGAGACCATCCTGGTCAACAAGGTGAAACCCCGTCTCTACTAAAAATACAAAAAATTAGCTGGGCATGGTGGCGCGTGCCTGTAATCCCAGCTACTCAGGAGGCTGAGGCAGGAGAATTGCCTGAACCCAGGAGGCGGAGGTTGCGGTGAGCCGAGATCGCGCCATTGCACTCCAGCCTGGGTAACAAGAGCAAAACTCCGTCTCAAAAAAAAAAAAAAAAAAAAACAATGCAGGACAGTCAGAAAGTTTAGTGAAAGTGGACCTGGTGGGTCTGGTCAGCTCTTTAGCTCAGTGATAATATCAGTAGCTCACTGCTACTCCTGCAGCTGCTGAAGTGCCTACAGAGCTTCCTGGTGCCTCTGGAATCTATTTTGCTTTCCTTTTGTTCATTGACATTCTCACTTAGGACCCATTTGTCTGCAAGAAGCAAAAATTAACCAGGAGTTTTAAGGAAGGAGGTGTAAATTTCCTTGCTCTGATGCAGGTTCCACTGCTGGAAAATGTGCTTTAAACTAAAACCCCCAAGTATCCTTTCTTTTCTGTCACTTGATTCAAAATTTCTTTTTCATTTAGACAAAGAGAACTGTCACTCTCACCTGCTTCTTTCTTGAGCAGCGTGCTTACCTTAATTTCAAGCGTGATAGCACCACTCTATAGAGGTAACTTGCAGGTAGGTGTTTTCGCTGCCCCACAGGTTGTATAACAGGATGAATAGCCCCAACAATATATCCTTTAAGATAATAGTCTTCCACTTTTGTTACGATATCTAGAATTGAATTTATCTTGATGACTGCTGGGTTTGATGAAGCTGAAATATCAAAGGCAAAGAGAAATTTGCACATTCATAAGATTGAATTATACATTATTTCTACCTATGTGTGATAATACTAATGAGTAGGAAAAGATCTTGGCCAGGTGCAGTGGCACATGCCTGCAATCCCAGCACTTTAGAAGGCCAAGGCAGGAGGATTGTTGAGCCCAAGAATTTGAGACCTGCCTGGGCAACACAGCAGGAACACAGCAGGACCCTGCCTATGAAAAAAAAGAAAAAAAAAAAAAAAAAGAAAAGAAAATCTCTCCAATGGCTTAATCTCAAATAAATTTAATTTAACATGTATTTACACTTAAACATTTTTTTGAGATGGAATGTCATTCTGTTGCCTAGGCTGGAGTACACTGGTGCAATCTTGGCTCATTGCAACCTCCCTGTCTCAGCCTCCCGAGTAGCTGGGATTACAGGTGTGTGCCACCATGCCCAGCTAATTTTTTGTATTTTTAGTAGAGACAGGATTTCACTGTATTAGCCAGGATGGTCTTGATCTCCTGACCTCATGATCTGCCCTTCTTGGCTTCCCAAAGTGCTAAGATTACAGGTGTGAGCCTATATTTATACATTTTTAAAGTCATTTCAGAAAAAGGAAACGTGACGTTACAAGTTAGTAGACATATAATATCACCAATATGTCTAAAGCAGAAATACAATGTCTCACATGTTTTTTTTTTCAGTTAAGGCAGTTTCATTTTTAGGATTTCATCTGAGTGACTGTATTTCCATTAATAGATATTGAAGACATACATAGGAGATACAATAATTTGAAAAGCCAGTAATTTTTATGACTGGACAAGAGGAGATGCATAATTTCTTTTATTTACCTTTTTTTCTTTTTTGAGGGAGGATCTCACTTCACCCTCCAGGCTGGGATGCAGTGGCACAATCCTGGCTCACTATAGCCTCTACCTCCCAGGCTCAAGCGATCCTTCCATGTAGCTGGGACTATGTGTGTGTGCCACCACACCCCGCTAATTTTTGTATATTTTGTAGAGGCGAGGTTTTGCCATGTTGCCCAGGCTGATTTCAAACTCCTGGGCTCAAGCAGGCCTCCTTCCTTGGCTTCCCAATGTGTTGGGATTATAGGTGTGAGCCACAGCTCCCAGAAGAGACGCATAATTTCTCAAAAATAAAATTTATACCAACCTAATAATTAAAAATGGGAGAAATGGCATTTATTAAACAGCACTTGTCAAGTGCTTTCTTATTTCCAATTACTCTTTCAAAAGCACTGTGTTTTATCTGGGAAGCTAAACATATGATTTCTTATGGCACTGACATAAATGCTTGCGTAAAAGTGAATGGAAAAGTAAAGATGTCCAGTAGTTTTCTTTAATAAATAAAAATTCTAAATGTAGAGGAAATTTAAGTGCAAAATTGATTCACCATTAAACCATTCCTTGAAGAAGAGCAAATCTGTAGAAACTGTAGAAAAGCACTCTCTGTACAGACTTTAGAATAGTAAAAGGAAGAGAGTATGCTATTTGGGTAAATGTTCTTAATGTTACGGCAGTTATTAGTTTAAATAACAAGTTTATTTTCTACAACAGTATTTCTCATTGTATGAAAAACAATTAAGAATTAATATCTAGAAATAGACCTGCATTTTGATTATCTCTTAAGTAACGAGACATATGAAATTAATTCCAGATATGGGCCTAGTTGGCTGTTGACCTCTGTCAGTGTGGTGAGCGGTGTCCAGCAAAGAACTGCTGCTGATTGCCTGAGCACAGGAAAGAGGTTAAGAAGCAGATGAGGAGGAAGGGCCAGAGGAAATTCCCTCCTCCCCTGACATTGGTATCTATTCGATGAAACAGAAATCCACCATCAGTGGGTATTCATGCCAACTTCAAAAACTAAAATAACACTCAACAGAAAAGTTACATAAACCAGGAAGGATCCACTTCCTCCAATTTTCACCCTCTTCTGGATTTAAGTTACTATTTTACTTACAATATATTTTCTTCATCATTATGAATAGGAATGAAAGCAAAGAGAATTATCCTGGACTTTGAAGAAACAGCTGGGCTTCCTTGTAAACAGTCCAGCCCTGCTTGGTGGTGTGGCAATTCTGTGATTCATTTGGTTTTACTCTTTAGTATTTTGACTACCAACTCTGATTTCTAAACAAAGGAACTGAAAAACTATAACAAAATGGAAGCAGCTCTTAAGACTGAGGAATGAAACATAACCTAAACTTATTTTTAGAACTATATACTAATCCTAAAAAAAATAAAGAAAATTGTTTACTGCAGGAAGTGGAAATGCCTTAGCGTGATACAAAAGCATCTTCACAGTCTGGCCTCTGCCTATTGATTCAGTTTCCACTCGTGTTATTCTTTCCCTTACATGTCTTGCTTTGGGATGCTGGAAGGACTTGGAGTTTCTGAACCTGCCACTCTGTTTCATGCCACCAGGCCTTCCTTTCCTTCCCTGTTCCCCCAGCTTGAGTTAATAATTCCTTCCTCTGGGCTGCCTATCCTTCTACTAGTGCCCTTATCAGACTGTATCATAGTTATTTATATGACTTTGCTGTTAGACTGAGAATTCCTTAAGGGAAAGGAACCTACCTTATTCATGTCTTTCTATATCTAGCATGTTCCTTAGGTCACTATGTTAAATTGGAAATACTAGTCATAAGGGGAATTAAGAAATGAAATTATTGCATAAAAAAGGCAAGCAATCAAGGTTAGCTAGTGGGAAAAAAAAGTTAGGTTAGCAATTTCAGCAACAATTGTTCACGTTGTCTAGGCCTTGGAGAAGAGAGATGAAACAGAGAAGAGCATAGGCAGTGACATGGAATTTGTAAAAATTATTTCGATCATGGAAGTGGGGATGGTTAAGAACATAGTGAGAATCCAAATAAATAGAGTTAAAGGTCATATTCACTTCAGGAGTCTCTCACATAAGGTTCCACTGTATGTTCCTCATTTTAATGATATTACAATGAGAAAAAGCCTTGTTACAAATGAAGTAAAAAATATTGAGAGGTGGAGCTACATGGGATTTAATTAGCTCCATCTTTGAATGAAATCTGGAGAGAAATTTGTGAGAAGATTGTACCACAAATAATGATTTAAGGTGAAGAATGCGGCTTTTATTTTAAAAAGTTCACATGAGCCGGGCGCGGTGGCTCAAGCCTGTAATCCCAGCACTTTGGGAGGCTGAGGCGGGTGGATCACGAGGTCAAGAGATCGAGACCATCCTGGTCAACATGGTGAAACCCCGTCTCTACTAAAAATACAAAAAATTAGCTGGGCGTGGTGGCGCGTGCCTGTAATCCCAGCTCCTCAGGAGGCTGAGGCAGGAGAATTGCCTGAACCCAGGAGGCGGAGGTTGCGGTGAGCCGAGATCGCGCCATTGCACTCCAGCCTGGGTAACAAGAGTGAAACTCCGTTTCAAAAAAAAAAAAAAAAAAAAAAAAAAAAAAAAGTTCACATGAGCTTGTGGACTTGGGAGAACTTCCGGATACTGCTGGCCTTGCTGCTCCCTTTTCTCTGCACCCTCATCTCCACAGCATGTCTTTTTGTGTTTGTAGTTAATAGTCATTCTAACTGGGGTAAGTTAATATCTCATTGTGGTTTTGATCTGCATTTCCCTGGGTGATTAGTACTATTCAGCATTCTTTCATATACCTGTTAGCCATTTGTACGTCATCTCTTTTGTCTATTAATGTCATTTGCCCACTTTTTAATGTAATTTTTAAAAATTGTTGAGGTGTTTGAATTCCTTGTGTATATTCTGGATATTAGTCCCTTGTTGGATGAATAGTTTGCAAATATTTTCTCTCATTCTGTAAGTTTTCTCTTTATTCTGTTGATTCCTTCCTTTGCTGTGAAGCTTTTCAGTTTAATATAATCCTATTTGTCTAATTTTATTTTAGGTGTCTGTGCTTTTGGGGTCTTAGTCATAAAATCTCTCCTAGGTCAATGTCCTGAAGTGTTTTCCCCATGTTTTTATCTAGTAGTTTTATAGTTTTGGGCCTTATGTTTCAGTTCTTAGTCCATTTTGAGTTGATTTTTGTATATGGTAACAAATAGATAGTGGTCTGGTTTCATTCTTCTGCATATGGATATCCATATATTGAAGAGGGTGTCCTTTCCTCAGTGTATGCTCTTGACATTTTTGTTGAAGATGGCAGTAAATATGCAAATTTATTTTTGGGTTCTATATTCTGTTCCATTGGTCTACGTGTCTATTTTTGTACCAATACCATGCTGTTTGGCTATTATAGCCTTGTAAAATATTTTGAAGTCAGGTACTGTGATGCTTCCAGCTTTGTTCTTTTTTTCCTAAAATTGTTTTGGCTATTCTGACTCTTCTGTGGTTCCATAAAAATTTTAGGACTTTTTCTATTTCTGTGAAAAATGACATTGGTATTTTGATAGGGATTGAATCGAATCTATAGGTTGCTTTGGGCAGTATTTTAACAGTATTAATTCTTCCAATCCATAAGCATGAGATGTCTTTTCATTTTTTTGGTGTCCTCTTCAATTTCTTTCTTTTAAAAAAAGTTTAAAAATTTAAATTTTTTCTAGAGATGGGTTTTCACTTTGTTACCTAGGCTGATGCCAAATTCCTTGACTCAAGCAATTCTCTCATTTTGGTCTCCCAAAGTGCTGGGATTACAAGCATGAGCCATTGTGCCGGACCTCCTTCAATTTCTTTCCTCAGTGTTTTGTAGTTTTCTTTTAGTTGTGGGTTTGTCATACATGGCCTTGATTATTTTGTGGTATGTTCCTTCTATGCCTAGTTTGTTGAGAGTTTTTATCAATAAGGGATGTTGTATTTTATTAAATTTTTTTTTCTGCATCTATTGAGATGATCATATGTTTTTTGTCCTTCATTCTGTTGATGTGATGTGTCATGTTTATTGATTTGCATATGTTAAACCATTTTTGCATCACTGGCATAAATTCCATTTGATCATAGTGTATTATCTTTTTGATGTACTATTGAGTTTGATTTGCTAGTATTTT